GTTTCCCCGAAAATAAGACTGTCTTATATTAATTTTTGCTCCCAAAGATGCGCTAGACCTTATTTTCAGGGGATGTCTTATTTTTCCATGAAGAAGAATACAGTACACGTTTATTGTTAAATGAAAATAAAGGAAATTTATTACCTGTATATGGTATGGTAGTACGGTAGTTGTCAACACAAACCAGACAAACTGTGAATCCTACAGTATCAAGAATTTACTCATTTATTCAATGACAATCATGTCATCATCTTCTGGAACATTATAACAATCCAAATCCTGAATTTCCTGGTGAATTTCTTGTGACTCCATTTCTTTTAGAATCAGTGGACCAAATCTCTCATGTTTAGCAATAGCATTCTGAGACAGAGCCTAGGGGGGCCTTATTTCAGGGACATGCCTTATATTTCACTCAGAAGGAAACCTGTAAGTAGGTCTTATTTTCAGAGGATATCTTATTTTCGGGGAAACACAGTAGCTATTTTTCTCTTGCTGCTTGTAAGATCCCCTCTTTGTCTTTTGCCCTTGGCATTTTAATTATGATGTGTCTTGGTGTGGTCCTCTGTGGATTCCTCTTGTTTGGGGTTCTGTGCGCTTCCTGAACTTGTAGGTCTATTTCTTTCACCAGGTAGGGAAAGTTTTCTGTCATTATTTCTTCCAATAGGTCTTCAATATCCTGCTCGCTCTCTTCCTCTGGCACCCCAGAAATCCGGATGTTGGTACGCTTTAAGCCGTCCCAGAGGCTCCTTACACTATCCTCACTTTTTGATTCTTCTTTCTTTCTGCCTCTCTGGTTGGGTGATTTCTGCTTCCTTATATTCCAGATCTTTGGTTTGATTCTTGGGATACATTGATCTATAGTTGAGTTTCTGTATATTCTTTATTTCAGAGATTGTATGCTTAATTTCTGACTGGTCCTTTTCCATTTTTTTTGGTATTCTCATTAAGGTCTTGAAGGTCTCACAAAGCTTCTTGGAGGTCTCATCAAGTTTCTCAAAGGCTTTTAGAAGATTCTTGAGTAATCTTATAAATGTGATTGTGAAGTCTGTGTCGTCCAGTAGTTTACTTTCCTCTATCTCTCCCATTCGTGACATGCTTCTGTGTCTCCTCATTTTGGCTGCCTCATTGTGTTGATGGAGTGGCTTTGTGTGGTAGGTGACCTATAGGGATCAGTAGCTCAGCTTCCCCAATCACCTGAGGTGGTCGCTTTTGCTATATCCCTTTGTGGGCTGAGTGCAAAGTCTTGGTGTAATTAAGCCTCGATTGCTGTTTGTACACTGAGAGGAACTGACCTCCAGGCCAACTGTCTGTGAGAACCTGCTCTGTCTATAAAGGAAAAACTGCTGCGCTGCAGACACGCTTTGTTTCAGTGGGGCTTTGGTGCTCACTGAGACCGTCTCCCGAATGTGTCACTTATGGGTGTGAGGGGTTGAAAATGACCACTAGAAACACTGGCTTCTGGATCTCCAATGGGGTGCAGTTCAGCTACTGTCTGAGGCCACCCTGCAGGAGCTACAGTGAGAACCACGGTCCTCTCCTCCCTGCTTGGAGTTTGGAGGCTTTGGAGCTATCTGCACCAGGTTGCAAGTTTGCTAGGTTAAACTGCAATAGAGAAGGCCATTCATATGCAAAAGCCGCTGCTTGGAGCTTGGGTGAGTTTGTAGACTGTGCGGGGCAGAGTCTCAGAGCGTCACTGGGCTGGGGCATGGCAAACAACGATGGCTGCCCGTCAGCCGTCTCTGCCTCTCTGAAGGCATCTCCGCGTCTCCCCGGGTCTCACGCCCCGGCACAGCAACAATTATTCTTTCTCGCAGCTCTGCAAGCAAGCCACCCTCACTTTCCGAACCAATGGCAGACAGTCTGTCTTCTCCCCAGAAACTGGATTTCAGAGAGATCGGGAGCTTGTCTCTCTTCGGGTTGAAGAAAGCAACGCCCTCCGCCAGCCGGGATCCGCCGCCAGCCCGTATTGTGTCCGCGCCCCCTACCTCAGTTTTTTAGCGCTTGTGCCCTGAATGCTCCTCTATCTTTCAGTCTAGTTGTAGAGGTTCCTTTTAGCCAGCTTTCCCGTGGTTCTGGGTGATAGACGTTTTATCTTTTTTTTTTTTTTTTTAATATATTTTTATTGATTTTTTACAGAGAGGAAGGGAGAGAGATAGAGAGCTAGAAATGTTGATGAGGAAGAAACAATGACCAGCTGCCTCTTGCACACCCCCTACTGGGGATGTGCCCGCAACCAACGTACATGCCCTTGACTGGAATCGAACCTGGGACCTTTCAGTCCGCAGGCCAACGCTCTACCACGGAGCCGAACCGGTTTCAGCGACGTTTTGTCTTAGTTGTAGTTTTGAAATTGTTGTGCACGGCAGCAGTTTAGATGTGTTTACCTACACCGCCATCTCAGCCTCCTCTCTGCACAACTTGTCAGTTGGCCAGTATCAGAGAAATACATACTGCTCACACGTTACCTTCTGCAGAAAGGAAAAGGACTGCACTGTGAGCGAAAGCCAAGTGCGTAGAAGGAAGTAAATGCTGCCACTGAGAAAAAGACTTAAGACTTTTCAGCAATAAGCATAATACTTCTGGTAGCAATCAAGCATCATTTTATTTCTGTAAGATTGCTAATAAAGAACATGGTTATGAATGTCCTTTAAAAATATATTAATTTGATGAACAGCAAAAAAAATGACAGAATATTCAGAAAAAGTCAGCTACTTTTCCACATTAGAGATAAAAATTAGATTAAAACTAAAAATCTAAAAGACTAAAACCTAAAAAATTAGATTAAAAATAAAACAAACCAATATATAAAAACAATGCAGAGATGAAGGAGCCTTTGTGTGTGTGTGTGTGTGTGTGTGTGTGTGTGTGTGTGTGTGTGTTTTAAATATATTTTTATTAATTTCAGAGAGGAACAGAGGGAGAGAGACAGAAACATCAGTGATGAGAGAGAATCATTGATGGGTTGCCTCATGTATGCCTCACACTGGGGATCAAGTCTGCAACCTGGGCATGTGCCCTTGACTGGAATTGAACCCAGGACCACCCCATCCACAGGATGATACTCCATCCACTAAGCCAAACCAGCCAGAGCACCAGCCTGTTTTTAAAAAATATGTTTTCAAAGTTTTAGACAAGCATTCCAATTGAAATAAAAATTTACTTAGTCCAATAAATAAAGTAATATAAAGTAAAAAGACACAGCCAGATTATTAGTATATGTTTAAGATATTTTTGGATTATATACAAAATATTATCATTTCAAAATGTAATCACTATAAAATTTTTATTAAGTTATGTTACACTTTATTTCTATAGTATGTCTTCAAATTTCAGGGCATATTTTGCTATTAAAGCACATTCTCAATTCAAATAAAATATTTATTAAAAATATTGGATTTGTCCCATTTGATCTAGTGATCCCACTTCTAGAAATTTGATCCAGTGATCCCATTGCTATGCTGCGGTAAAAAAGGAATTCTTACTATTTGCAACAGCATGGATGGAACTGGAGAGCATTATGCTGAGTGAAATAAGCCAGTAAGAGAAAGATACATTTCATTTATGGAATATAATCAACAACACAACTGATGAACAAAAACAGATCCAGAGACAGAGAAACATCGATCAGACTGTCAAACCTCAGAGGGAAGGTAGGGGAGGATGGGTGTAAGGGGGAGAGAACAACCAAAGGACTTGTATGCATGCATATAAGCTTAACCAATGGACACAGATAACAGGGGGTGAGGGTGGGGATGGGAGGGCAATGGAGGGATAAGGGCACAAATGTATGTAATACTTTTTTTTTTTTAAATATACTTTATTGATTTTTTACAGAGAGGATAGGAGAGGGATAGAGAGTTAGAAACATTGATGAGAGAGAAAAAAACATCGATCAGCTGCCTCCTGCACATTCCCTACTGGGGATGTGCCCACAACCAAGGCACATGCCCTTGACCGGAATTGAACTGGGACCTTTCAGTCTGCAGTCCGACGCTCTATCCACTGAGCCACACCGGTTTTGGCTGTGTGTAATATCTTAATCAATAAAGACATTTAAAAAAAAATTATGAGAACTAAATGTGAGTCATGATCCTAAAGTAGGTTGTGGACCGGGAAGGAAAAGGAGACATTGAAAAAGTGAGGGATATTTGAATGAGGTGTTTTGGGATGAATTGAATGCTATTATTATATCAATATTAATTATCTGGTTTTGGATGCTTGTATTAGTATTCTGTAGAAAAGTGTCTATGTGAATAAACTAAGGAAACAAAATAAAATAAAATCCCAAATATTGGATTTGTATTTTGATTCCATAAAATCTACATTTTGAAAAAGTAGTTTCATATGAGTTTTTCCAAACATGTTTGAAGTTTGTCTAGCTTTAATTAAGTAAAACAAAGAATTTCGTTGTTCGTTTGCACCGAGTCCCCCACCTCCCCTCTTCAAATCCTCAAGCCACTTGTGGCCCTGGCTGCAGGCCTCATCTGCACAGCAGAAGGCAATGTCCACAACTAGACAGCCAGGCTCTCTCATGCCTAAAGTGAGCTGAGTCCCAAGAAACATATTATACAGACAATGATGTCTAAGAATTATTTTATAGATTAAAGCAAACACACTATTTAGAAGAAAGAAGAGTGGGTGTTGAGCATAAGTGGGCTAACATGAAAAACACAAAAGACACCCCATGAAACAAAAGCAGCCCTGCAAGAGCGCGCTTCACTCGTTTTAACGCACTGCCATTTAAGGTGCAACAAAAATTGTTAACATAATTGTCCTCAGGTGGGACAAAAATCATGCAAATATCACTAACAATACTAACAACATTTTAAAGAAGAAAGAGATGGTAATTTAAATCGTTAAAGCTTCACATGTTATCCTGAAATGAAGTTGAACGTAGAAGCTGGAGTAGTTAAACCCATACAAAATACTCAGTGGTCAATTTTTATCTCACTGCTTCAAAAAATGAAAATGTTAAGTCATCTTCACAGTGGGAATCATACCTGGATACTGTCGGATGGTGGACACAGAGCTGGTGATTGGGGTATATGTGTGTGCCGTCAGAGGGTATGCAGAAGGTGGGTACGTTGGCAAAAAGTACTGGAACTGGACAGGAACAGACGGTCTATGGATGGAACACAAATAATAATGAACTAAAGCGGTCTATTGACTTACCTTCAAATGACCCTGTCCCCCAATCCTCTTCACACTCCTACTGCCACAGCAACATCCCCACTGGGCTCTCACAATCAGATCAAAGGAAAGAGATCACAGAGTAATGTCTATACACTGGAGGCCCGGTGCCCAAACTCAAGCATGGTTCGCTCCCTAGGCCTGGCTAATGTCAGGGCCTATTGAGGCCATCTCGCTCACTCTTGTTTGGGGCCGGGCTGGCTGGGGCCAACCTCCCATGTCTATACCCCCCGACCAGTTGGCCCCCCCCACTTGCCCTGATCACCCTAAGGTTCTTCCCCCTTGCCGGCCGGCCTCTCTGATAGGCCCAGATTGGGGAGAGCATTCAAACATCTCCCGAGGGCTCCCAGACTGTGAGAGGGTGCAGGCCAGGCTAAGGGATTCTCCCACCCCCCGAGTGCATGAATTTCGGGCACTGGGCCTCTAGTTCTATATAATAAAGAGGTAATATACAAATTGACCCTCCCACCTTACAAAAGCTGGCCACCCCCATGTGATCAAAGATGGCTGCCACAAGATAGCTGGCAGGGGAGGGTAGTTGTGGGCAATCAGGCCAGCAGAGGAGGGTAGTTTGGGGCGAACAGGCCGGCAGGGGAGGGCAGTTGGGGGTAACTGGGCCAGCAGGTGAGGTAGCTGGGAGCAATTTGGCGAGCAGGGGAGCAGTTAGGTGTTGATCAAGGTGGCAGGGGAATGGTTAGGGGGTTATCAGGTTGGCAGGCAGGTAAGTGGTTAGGAGCCAGCAGTCCCAAATTGTGAGGGATGTCCCAGATTGAAGAGGATGCAGGCTGGGCTGAGACACCCCCATCCCTAGGTGCATGAATTTTGTGCACTGGGCCTCTGGTGGCCAAGTGTCCATCTGACTGGTAGCTATGACATGTGGTGACCACCGGGGGACAGATGCTCAATGCATACACTGCCAAGATGCAGTGATTTGGCAGCGGCAGTGAAGCACCCCGGAACCAGAGGGGAGGGAGCCTGATTCTTTGCGAGACCAGGTGATTCCACCATTCGGCTGTGGGTTATTTTGTTGCGGGGGCCCTGTTGCCCGAATCTGGTTTACTGCTCACTTGCATTTGCATTCCACACCCTGTACAACAGCAACTTTGCAGAGTGCCCTCTCGTACTTGGGGACCCCTTGGTGGATGTTAGAGAGCTGGTTTCAGCCCGATCCCCGCAGGCCAGGCTGAGGGATCCCACCTGCTGGAAGGACCGTGGGAGGTTGGCTCCTGGGCGTGTCTGGCCTGTCTTGCCCAGTCCCGCCCTGCTGGCAACCTTCTAATTAATTTCCTCTCAATGGCACGAATCTGTGCACTGGGCCACTAGTTATTACATAACATTAAATACATTATTACCAAATAAGCTTTACTCCAGGAAAGTAGGAATGACTCAATATCAGAATTTCTATTTATGTTTTAAATCATATTAAAAATGTAAAAGAATTATTGGAAACTTTGCAAAAGATATAAAAATGCTATTAAATTATCATTCAATACTCAATGTCTAAGAAAGCAGGACAGAAACAAAACTTTGTTCCTCAAACTGAAAACAATATCTACAAAAATTGATTATGAAATTTCAGAGACTTCCCATTTAGGTCAGGAACAAGACGAGGATGCTCACTATTTCTGTTATTAATATATTCAACATCACATAGGAAGCTTAGCTAACAAGAAAAACCTAAGTATGTAAAATAGAAATGAAAAAAACTCCCTCATCCCTCAAAAATCTGTCCTCATTTGTAGATGAAATGAACATTTATGTAAGAAATCCAAAAGAACTTACAACCTTTAGAGCTAACAGTCATGCTCAGCTGAAAGGATGGACACGGGACACAGAAAAGCTACGAGCACTCCTATGTACCATTATGGGACAGGACAATTTAAAAGTGACCAGATGCTGCCCTGGCAGTTTAAAACTAAAAACCCAGCCCTAACTGGTTTGTCTCAGTGGATAGAATGTTGGCCTGCAGACTCAAAGGTCCCAGGTTCGATTCTGGTCAAATGGTTATGGGCACATCCCCAGTGTGGTGTGTGAGGGAGGCACCTGATTAATGTTTCTTTCTCATTGACATTTCTGGCTCTTTCTCCCTCTCCCTTCCTCTCTGCTGAAAATCAAGAAAATATATTAAAAATTTTAAAAAGTGACCAGATGCTGAAGTGACTTTCTGTGCAAGTATGCAATGGGAACAGGGATGGGGGGGAAATAGAGGTATAACCATGTGCTAAGTAAAGAATTTGTAAAGTGTTATATACTTCTTACCTCTGCCTGCTGAAAGAGCCTAGAGAAAACACCAACAAACAGCTAATGCCTGGTTTCTAAATGATGAAAGGAACCAGGCTCCTTGGAGAAATGGTGGACTCTAAGATGCTGACAAAGTTTAGGAGGGGCCTGGGGAATCATATTGTGGGAAGGGCTGGAATGACTAGGACATGGCAAAACCACAGGAACTATAATAGTCCAAAGGGACTCCCATGAACCAAGCCAGAGATAATTTGAGCATCAAAATAGATGATACTGAGCCTATAGTAATGAATAAAACCAAATCTATGAGCCTATGCTGATTCTAAAAAAAAATGAAATACACAAAAATATAAATGGGGGAAAATGAGAAAATATCTATATATCAGAATGTCAACTGATAAATGTGAAAGCAACAATAGTTAGAAAGAGTCACTATTTTGCAACCATCATATTGCAACAACCCTCAACTGATTCAGCCAAGAATCATCAGTAAACAAACTACTTTGTGAAAGTTTACTGGGGGAAAGGATATTAATAGTGTCAAAGTATTTCCACATAGATTACTTAGTTATAAAGAAGAAAAACACTATTTTATAGTAAGAAAATCTGGCAAACATCACATCTTCTCTAAGTAACTAATGTTGACATAACTAATATGACAAAGAAAGAGCATGAGCTCTCTGATGTAATAGTAGCGAGAAGAGCATATCAAACAATGGTATTCACTCCAAAAATATCTGACAAGCCCATATTGAATATTCTACAAAAACTGGTCTATCCATATCCTTAAAAAATGTCAATGTATGAAAGAGGACAGAAAGCTAAAAAATTGCTCCAGGGGTAAATATACTTTCAAGATTAAGTAAGAATGCCTTTGCTCTTCAGAGATGAAAATGGAAATATTTAGTGTTAGCAACCTTAACTCTCAAAATAAATCATTCATAGAAACATACAAAACAAAACAATGGATCCTAAGAGAACACCCATCAAAAGGAGAATGGTTGAATATAGACATTTTCTTAAAACTGCAAGAGAAATAATACAATGACCCTACTGGTGCATGAATCTGTGTACTAGGCCTCTAGTTTAAAAATAAGTACATACACTGAGTGGCCAGATTATTATGATCTCTGAACACAAAATAATCTGGCCACTCACCAAAATGCTTTGTACCCATTTGTATCTCAATGGGTACCAAAAGCATTCTAAACTGCTGGAGATCAACCACCTATTGTCCCTGAGCTCTCTGTCAGCCAGTGCAAAGGGGAACACTGACCAGGTGCACCATGTATAGTATCTTTGCTATCTAATAAATGGGGTGCTCAAGAGAAGTACAGTGAGTGGCCAGATTAGTATACATTCAGAGATCATTAATAATCTGGCCACTCAGTGTATATGCCTTATTTGTGGAACATTTTATATTATTGAAAAATCAAAGCAATTAGTGACACACTAAGCAGTGTAAAGGGCAGGCTGTCTCCCACCTGTTATCACTTCGAGTCTCCATGGCCACAGGATTCGGAGAGGCCCGATGTCCTGAAATGGGAATCAGGCTGCTCCTCTCGGTTGGGTAATCAGGCTGGATCCTAGGAGAAGTGTGTGTGATCTGCTGAGGCACCACCTTAGCTACAGAAAGGAAAACCAATGACATTATTGCTTGTATGCTTTCACTGTCAAGCCAAATCATTCTTGTATAACAATCTTAATGCAAATAGTAATAAGAAGTCTAGATTTTTAGTTGTTCTTTTTAAAATACATCTTATTGATTTTTTTTTTTTTTTTTTTTTTTTTTTATTGATTTTTACAGAGAGGAAGGGAGAGAAATAGAGAGCTAGAAACGTCGATGAGAGAGAAACATCGACCAGCTGCCTCTTGCACACCCCCTATCGGGGATGTGCCCGCAACCAATGTACATGCCCCTGACCGGAATCGAACCTGGGACCTTTCAGTCCGCAGACCAACGCTCTACCACTGAGCCAAACCGGTTTCAGCCATCTTATTGATTTTTTTACAGAGAGGAAGGGAGATGAATAGAGTTAGAAACATCGATGAGAGAGAAACATCAATCAGCTGCCTCCTGCACACTCCCCATTGGGTATGTGCCTGTAATCAAAGTACATGTCCTTGACTGCAATCGAACCTGGGACCCTTGAGTCTACAGGCCAATATTCTATCCATTGAGACAAACCAGTTAGGGCTGGATTTTTAGTTTTAATCAAAATAAAAAATGAAAGATGAATACATAAGGTTCAACAAAATTATTTCAATGTAATCTATAATAATAAAAGCATAATATGCTAATTAGACCAGACAGCCGAATGACCTTCCAGACAAAACTGTGGCAGTGGGGGCCAAGGCAGAGACGGTTAGGGGCGATCAGGCAGGCAGGTGAGTACTTAGGGGAGATGAGGCAGGTAGGCCAGCAGTCCAAGATTGAGAAAGGGATGTCCGACTGCATCTCCCAAAGGGTCCATGATTGTGAGAGGGTACAGGCCGGGCTGAGAGACACCCCCCACCCCATGCACAAATTTTATGCATGGGGCCTCTAGTTTATATATATAAAAGCCTAAGCAACTATTATGATTGGTCAACCAGATGGTAGCTATGGTGTGCACTGACCAACAGAGGGCAGACACTCAATGCAGGGCTGTGCCCTGGTGGTCAGTATGCTCACAGCCAACTCCTATGGCTAGGCAACCTCCCACAATTTCTCCCCCTGGCCAGCTGGCCCCAACTGGAACTGGACAAGATCGCGGGCCAGGCAGAAGGATCTGACCCATGCAAAAATTCAGGCAAGGGTAATCTAATCCACTTATTTAATATTTTCACCCTGTCAAAGCAGGGTTCAGCATTACTCCTTTAACAAAAATATCAGCAACCAGGCCTCATTCCCTGACCTGAGATCCTTTTTTTGAGAAGGAGAAAACCTTTGATTAAAAAACAAACAAACCAGCCGAGACCGGTTTGGCTCAATGGATAGAGTGTCAGCTTGGGGACTGAAGGGTCCCGGGTTTGATTCAGGTCAAGGGCACGTACATTGGTTGCGGGCACATCCCCGGTGGGGGGTGTGCAGGAGGCAGCTGATCGATGATTCTCTCTCATCGATGTTTCTAACTCTCTATAAAAAATCAATAAAATATATATTAAAACAAAAAAACAAAAACAAAAACCAGAAACAAATGAAAATGTAAATATAGGAATGACAAAGTCCTTAGATTCTACTCCTTAACTGGGTCCATAAGGAAGCAGCAACGTGGCTAATTACTACTGAGTATATCATCTTAATTTCTAAGTCCCAGCTTCATCATCTCTTAGGCCTTCTCTAGATAATCATTTAATTTTTAATATCCTATGTCTTTACCTAATACCTTACAGCAAAGTCAAAATAAAAAACAGAGTTTTCAAATTAATATCAGGCTCAAAATTTGCTTTCCTCTACGATTTGCAATCAAATTTTGATTCGAAGGTGTAGGTGAACTGGGACATACTTTACGGTTCTTGAGACACCTATATGTTAACTCTATGCCTCGATATTTGCAAAGAAAAGCTGTGACCTCAGAGATATAGAGGAGGGGTGGAGAATCTTTTCTCTGCCAAGGACCATTTGGAGAGTTATGACATCATTCTCGGGCCCTACAAAATTATCATCTTAAAGATTAGTCCTAGCCGAAACCGGTTTAGCTCAGTGGATAGAGCGTCGGTCTGCGGACTGAAAAGGTCCTAGGTTTGATTCTAGTCAAGGGCATGTACCTTGGTTGTGGTTACATCCCCAGTAGGGGGTGTGATGTTTCTCTCTCATCGATGTTTATAGCTCTCTATCCCTCTCCTTTCCCCTCTGTAAAAAAATAAATGAAATATCCACTGAATCCAAGATGGTGGCATAGATAACACCTAACTGCAGCCTCACACAACAATTTCAATAAAATACAATTAAAATATAAAGTGGACATTACCCAGAACTATAGGAAAGTCGACTGGAAATTCTACAACAAGAAGGAAAGAGAAAACCAGAAGGAAAATCAGAGGAGCTGTAAAAGCCTAAGGTACGGAGACACGTTGTGTGCGTGGAGAGGACAGAGCGGAGAGGAGGGGGAGGCTGAGTGCCTGGCTGGCATTCCCTAGTGGGAAGGAGATAAAAGCTCCGGACTGTGCTGAACCCCTGATCTGACAGCACTGAACCCCAGTTCTAGGCCAGACCTTGGGGACCCAGGCTCATGAAGAGGGAGACTGGGCTATTAGGCAGAATCTCAGGGGAGCGGCGAAAGACAGAGCGCCCAAAGGCACGCACATTATGCACCGAGGACTGACCTTTGACTCTGCTGCTAGATTGCCCTAGTGGGAAGGAGACAAAAGCTCCGGACTGTGCTGAGCCCCAATTCCGACTGCTCTGAACCCCAGTTCTAGGCCAGACTCTGGGGACCCAGGCTCATACGGAGGGAGCCTGGGCTGAAAGGCGGAAATCCAGGAGAGCGGCAAAAGTAGTCCCGGAGGCATGCACATTGCGCGCAGAGAACGGATGGTTGACTTTGCCGCTGGATTGCCCTAGCGAGAAGGAGACAAAAGCTCCGGACTGCTCTGAACCCCACTTCCAACAGAACTGAACCCCAGTTCCAGGCTCATTGGGGGAGAGCCTAGACTGTTTGGTAGTGGGCGAAACTCCAGGGCACCTTAATTTCATAGGTGCTTGCAACTGAAGAGTACTGAAGGACCATGAGGAATACTGAGACTCAGGAGCCTCATTAGGGTGTGGCTGATGGAAGCCAAGGCTGTAGGCTCCACCCTGAAACTCCACCCCATCCAAGCTGAACACAGAGACTTTTAAGGCTACCAACTCAGGGAAGCTGCGAAAATGCCGAGACAAGGAAACAGATCACAAACGAAAGAAATGGAGGGCAAAAAGCGACTGGATACAGAGTTCAAAACCACGCTTATAAGATTTTTCAAGAATTTCCTAGAAAAGGCTGATAAAATAAATGAGACCTATGAGGATATGAAAAGGGATCAACTAGAAATAATAAGGGATCAACAAGAAATAATAAGGGACAAACAAGAAATAAAGAATACATTATCCGGCCGAAACCGGTTTGGCTCAATGGATAGAGCGTTGGCCTGTGGACTGAAAGGTCCCAGGTTCAACTCCAGTCAAGGGCATGTACCAGTAGGGGGTGTGTAGGACGCAGCTGATCGATGATTCTCTCTCATCGATGTTTCTAACTCTCTATCCCTCTCTCTTCCACTCTGTAAAAAATCAATAAAATATATATTTTTTAAAAGAATACATTGCCTGAAATAAAAAATATACAGAGTCCTAAAAATATAATGGAAGATCGCAAGAATCAATTAAAAGATTTGGAACATAAAGAGCCAGAAGATACTCCTCTGCAGAAGCAAGAAGACAAGAGAATCCAGAAAGTTGAAGATAGTGTAAGAAACCTCTGGGACAACTTTAAGCGAACCGACATCAGAATTATGGGGGTCCCAGAAGAAGAGGGAGAGCAAGGTACCGAAAACATACTGAAAGAAATAGTGATAGAAAACTTCCCCCACCTGGTGAAAGAATTAGGCCTACAAGTCCAAGAAGCACACAGAACCCCAAACAAAAGGAATCCAAAGAGGACCACACCAGGACACACCACGCAGGCCAGGCGGGAATGGCAAGAAATATTCAAGGTGATGAATAGCAAGAACCTACAGCCAAAAATACCCTACCCAGCAAAGCTATCACTCAGAATCGAAGGCCAGATAAAGAGCTTCACAAATAAAAAAAAGCTAAAGAAGTTCTTCACCACCAAACCAGAATTATATGAATTGCTGAAGGGGTTCTTTCAGAAGAGAAAATAAAGATAAAAATTATGGACAACAAATACGTAACTATCAACAAGTGAATCTAAAAACCAAGGGAATTAAAAAAAAAATCTGGTGAACAATATTAACTGGTGAATATAATAGAATCAGAGGTATGGAAGGGGAGTGAATTGATGATTCTCGGGGAAAAGAGGAGTGGGGTGTGTGGATAGAGACTGAACATAAACTGTGCATCTATGGATGAGGACACTGGGGGGTGATGAAAGGGCAGAGGGTGGTGTGGTGGGAACCTGGTGGAGGGGAGCAATGGAAGGAGAAAAAAAATGAGGAACATTTGTAATAATATGAACAATAAAGACTTATTTAAAAAATATAAAAAAATAAACTCTTAAAATGTTTAAAAAAAAAAATGAAATATGTTAAAAAAAATAAATTAAAAAAAATTTTTTTTCTAAATAAATAAATAAATAAATAAATAAATAAATAGTTAGCCCTAAATGGTTTGGCTCGGTAGATGGAGCAATCAGCCTTTGGACTGAAAGGTCTCACGTTCGATTCCGGTCAAGAGCATGTACCTTGGTTGCGGGCACATCCCCAATAGAAGGTGTGCAGGAGGCAGCTGATCAATGTTCCTCTCCTTGATGTTTGTAACTCTCTATCCCTCTCTCTTCCTCTCTGTAAAAAAAAATCAATTATATATATATAAATTTAGCTCGCTAGGCTGGCTAGTGTGGCTCAGGGGTTGAGCGTTGACCTATGAACTAGGAGGTCATCATTTGATCCCCAGTGGGGGAGGGAAGTGCAGGAGGTAGCTGATCATGTTTCTACCTCTCTCTCCCCCTCTCCTTCCTTCTCTGAAATCAATAAAAATATAATTTAAAAATTAGCTATATTTGGTCAAACATTAACTCACCCCCTAATGCCTTGGTGTGGCTTTTTATGGTCCCCGGGCGGGGCGTTCCCTACCCAACAGAAGGACAAAAGTGTGAAGACCTGTTACACCAGTGACAGCACAGAACCACTAGAGACTAAGATGATGCCCCCCATTACCCAGAGTGCAATGCATCAAACACCAAAGGAGAGCAGCACAACCACCATGATGCCCAGGAGTGTCTGGGAGGTAGCTGGAGAAGTTCCTGCAGGACGCCCTTGGGTGGCCCACTGGAACACTGATGGTGGTGTCTGCTGGCTCACAGGGAGGAGCTGCATGGCACATTCTCCAGCAGTAAGGAGTAGAGCATTGAGTGGAAGGCAACTAAGCCTTGTTTTTCACTCTTCCCATAAAAGGCAGAAAAAAATAATCCTTCCAAAGAATGCAGCTGTCATTTGTAGGATAACTAAACAGTGGTTCCTACCAGTAAAACATATTCCAAATTTTAAATCTTTACTTTTTTCTAATTAAAAAAGCCACATTCTCTATTATTAAATAAAATTTAAGGAAAAATATAACGCAGAAATCATAACTTGGCTTTAATGCTACATCCAAAGATAATTTCATTTTCTAAATGCTGTGACTAACTCAGCTTTGTGTATTCTAAGACATTGGCATGTGTGGGCCAGAGGAGAAAACATATGGTCATCTAATGGAGATAAGCGTTCATTAGAGGAGAAAACCTTACGTTCATTGTTAATCATTTTTATTTCTGACCCAATATATTCTTACTAGTAACAATGGCTGAATTCAATATTCAGTCTCACCTGGGAAAAAACCACTTAAGTGATTTAATATATCCTCAAGACCTAAACTGGAAGATCAATGCTCTAAGTTTAATGTCAAGTTTTCCTTTTCAACCTTTGTACAGGAATCCTTTTATGATGTAACAAAAAAGTATTTGGGTTACTATAAAATAAGAAAACAAAACTAGAGCAATAACATAACTAAACTTAGATGAAACCAATCACATTAAGGTGGCAGATGTTAAATGTTTAGATATTTCTGTCAAATGATTTTCATATCTAAATTCAGTAAATGGTTAAAATTCAAAAACAAATGAGCTAAGGAGATATAGAATACAGCATTAAGTTACTGTACTAACTTAGGACAGGAATAAAGTTGCTAGTTTTAGCAAAAATGTATGAACACAGTTCTGTCTTCTGGTACTTTTACTTAAAATTTTTATTTGATTTGAGGGAGAGAGAAAGGGAGGGAGGAAGAAAGAAGAAAGGGAGGGAAGAAGGGAGAAAAAGAGAAAGAGAGATAAATAGATTTTGTTGTTCCACTTATTCGTGCATTCATTGGTTGGTTCATATAAATGCTGTGACCAGGGATCGAACCTGCAACATTGGTATATTGGGACAGTGCTCTAACCACTGAGGTACAAAACCATTCTGGTACATTTAGTGAGGTGACTTCCACTGTGATCTCTTAAGAAGATAGAGTGACATTATCAAGAACTAATCTCGAAGTAATTTTTCAGAGGGATCAAGAGAAAACCAAAGAGGCCCTATAGATACACTGCCTCCTCTTCACTGGTCTGACTTTCTTCACAGCCGCGGATTCCCTCCTAAGAGTCTGGACTGCAAACGTGAAAAGAACGGGCTGGGTCTGATGTTATAGCTGAGGATAACTGCTGACAATGCAAGTATAGCCAGATGTTGGTTTGCCACGACAATACGGAATTATCAAGACTGAGTCAGAAACATCGATGGGAGAGAAACATCAACCAACTACCTCCTGCACACCTCCCACTAGGGACGTGCCTGCAACCAAGGCACATGGCCTTGACTGAAACTGAACCTGGGACCTTCCAGTCTGCAGGCTGATTTCGGCTCAATGATCTTTTCAATAACAGTGCATTACTGATGAAACCGGTTTGGCTCAGTGGATAGAGCGTTCGATTCCAGTCAAGGGCATGTACCAAGAGGCAGCTGATCGAAGATTCTCTCTCATTGATGTTTCTAACTTTCTCTCCTCTCTTCCTCTCTGTAAAAAAAAATATCAATAAAATATATTAAAAACAAACAAACAAACAAAACCAGTACATTACTGCTGAAACCAGAAACACAAAGCAAACTTCCTTTCACAGAAGAGAAGTGAGCTCCGGAGGGCCATGAGAGGAGTGTGGTGGAGGCTGAGAGCAGTGACAGGATAAGAGCCAGCAGCACTGTCTTCTCGGCTACCTGTCTTTGGGGTGCATAGTACCAATGTAGGGTGGGCACAGCCCCGTTATCTGAGTTACCATTATTTGAAAAGTGTCCTCAAAGTTTGGTGAGAGGGCCGTGCAGCGGCAGTCTGTCTCGCATCCGCAAAACACAGCAGGGAGAAGAGCAGCCAGGCTGGAGGAGCACATGGGCCCTGGACCCCTCTGGTCTGGCCATTAGACCCCGAGGCCTCGTGCTCAGCACGTCAGCATGCCAGCGGACAGACACAGCCTTACTTTGGGCGTGAGGGCACGCTCATCACGCGGACTGACGCTAAGCTAACACCAGAGCCAAAGCCGGCAGCCAGAGGACGCGAGAGCAGCCGCCCACACCGCAGTCTGTCTGCGAGGCCGTGAGATTGACAACGGGTCCTAGGATAGAGGCTGGCAACCTGTGCCCCGAGAGCCAAATGCTGCCTGCTGCCCGCTGCCGTGAGGTCTAGGAGCTAAGCAAGGTCTGCGGATTGAAGTGGTGGAGGGGAGAGGAGCATTTTGTGACACTTAAAATGATATGAAATTCAAGTTTCTGTGTCCAGAAAGTCTCCCTGGAACATGGGCATGCCCCTGTTCATACTGGCCACTGGCAAGCAGCTGGGCAGAGACCTCGGAGGCCTGAACTGCCTGCATCTATCAGATGGACTATCATATGGGACGTTTGCCAGGCCCTGCTCCTAGTGACTCACGTGTGCTGCCAGAAACCTTCCGGAGGTTTTAAACATTCCGCGTGTGCGCCATTTAGGAGGGGGAACAGTGAAGACTAGAAGGAACTTTAAGGCAGTTAAGAAGTGTTCCGAGGCAGCGCTTCAAGGAAAACCTACGTTTAGCTGTCTTCCCGCTGCTGTCAACCAAAGATTTTTCCTGAACAATCCATCACTTCTCATTCCACATCTTTGCTTCTCGCTTGCTTTCCCTATTGTTTCTGTGTCAGTAAAGTTAATCTATTTCTTTAAAAGCTACACATAAAAAGTAAAGTTTTATTGTTAAGGCAGTTAAAAGTAGAGTTCAAGTTTACTTTGAGCTCTCAAAGATTATTCCTTTCTCCCTACCGTCATGCCAAACCTGTACAACAAATATTGTGAAAAGTTAAATTCACTGCTACTTTGAAACCTAACAGCTAAAAAAATCAATACTATCCACCTATAAGAAGAGCTCATCAGAGAGGCTGACGGGTGTACCCCACTTACCAACTGGGATGTTGGAGGTGGTCACAGCGGTGGCATGGGATGAATGGGAGGGCATTGCCATGGTAACGATTGTACTCGTGGGGGCTTGTGTGTGTGACACAGATCCTAAAAAGGGAGAAAAAAGGAAAATTCTTCAACAATTGCAGATTCTCACAAACCCAAGACAAGCTCTTGGGAGAAGTTAAGATAGCTTCCATGGCCTACTCTTTTAGCGGAGGGGTGAAGGGAACTGGGCAGAAAGCAGGAGCAGGGCTGCTGACTCACCGGCTGTGGTTGCTGAAGAGATGGTGTTGGTCGCCAAAATAGGTGCCACTGTTGCTGCAGCCACTGGGGTGCCCGTGCTGAAGATCGTTTTCTGTGGGGAGACCCAGAACAGAGTTATAGACTCTGCCACTCCATCCAGTTAGGAAGCAACCACGGCCTTCAGGATTGCACACGCTTCGAACTTCTGCCCTTCTCACTGAAGCATAGCAGCAGCACACAGACGGCCCGCCCCTGGCTTACCTGCGCCATGGTGTGAAGCTGCTGCTTTGGTGTCCCCAGTGCAGGGTGCGAGGGCAGTGTTATTCTTGTTGCTGCGTCCCGTGACTGGGGAGGGCGCTGAATGCTGATGGCCGCAGATGGTGGGTGCTGGATAGACAAAGCTGGCCGACTGGAAAGACAGACAGACGGGACTTGTAACTTGTCTGCAGACACAGCACAGGCACCAACGCCATTGACTCCCTGGGACTAGCCATCGTCACAGTGTGGTTGTTAATCCACACTGGAGGCTATTTTTTTTTTTTTAAAGATATATTTTGCTTTTTCACAGAGAGGAAGGGAGAGGATAGACAGTTAGAAACACTGATGAGAAAGAGGCATCGACCAGCTGCCTCTACATGCCCCCTACTGGAGCTGTGCCCGCAACCAAGGTACATGCCCTTGACCAGAATCGAACCTGGGACCTTTCAGTCCACAGACCGACACTCTATCCACTGAGCCAAACCCATTAAAGCCGAAGGCCAAGGCTAAGTTTTTCTCCCTTGATTTTTAGAGTGGAAAGGAAGGGGGAGGAAGGAGAGGGAGAGAAAGAGAGGAAGAGAGAGAAACATCAACCAAAGAGACACATAGACTGTTAACCCCCCACGTGTGTCACGACCAGGGCTTGGGATTGAACCTGCAACCCAGGTGTGTACTCTTGACAGGGAATCAAACCCATGACCTTTTGGACGTTGGGCCAATGCTCTAACCACTGAACCACTGGCAGGGAAAGTTCTATTTTTTTCAGAAGTCTGTGAGGTCCACTGTCGAACCAGTGAAGTAAAAGGCCCATCAAGTTTCTCTTCTGAAATTGTGAGCACCATTTAAAAAATAATCAACATGTACCATGAACTGAAGAAGTTAAACCTAGTCATTCTCAGCACCCTCCATATAGTTCATCAAAGCTCCCTGACAATCTCAAGGAAGCATCTATATATATGAAAGGCTAATATGCTGCATCCCTCCACCTGTCTGACTGGTTGCTATAGTGTGCACTGACCACCAGGGGCAGATGCTCCACGCAGGAACTGCCATAACACCTACTTGCCGTCTACAGAAATGGCAATGCAGACCTGGTGCTGACAAAGCAACACTTGGCTTCCTCTAAGTCGGACACAGGCCCTGTCACCACCCCAGAGTGACACCCTCCCAAATCGCAGCCGATGCTGCTGAGATGCACAAAATGCGGTGTCTGTGGGCACCAGGTAATAACATTACACTGCAACACCTGGCTTCCTCTCCCTAGCGACTAGCCTCCTTGCAGTTTCTTCAGCCCAGGAATATGACTTGCTTTATAGCCAGGTGCAAAAATTTCACATTTAACCAAATGTCTGTGAAGTGTTTTCCATGCCTCATCTCATTTGATCCTCACAGAAGTCCTGGGGTAGGTAGATAGGAGACTCGGTGGAATCCCATTTTCATTAGCCAGAAAACGGAGATTTAGAAAGCTTAGAAACTTGACCTGACTGAAAAGAAGTAGGAAATGGTGGACCTTGAAAATGACTCAGGTTTTCTCACTGCACAGAATACAGTCGAACACCGCTGCAGTTAAAATTTCACCCTTTGTTCTCCCTGAGTGATCTACAATAATCATCTGCTTCGTGTTGATATTAACTACTGTGCTGCTTACAATTACTTGAAAGAGACGTTGGGGTGCTCACTGGGCTGGAAAAAGTTTAGCTACATCAGAAAGCAGGTCTAATGAAGCAAGTTTATTATACATCTATAAAGGGCTAAGTTGACTCATGCATACGCAACACATATAAAGCTCTTACTGACACCAATTGTAATACTCTTTACTGTATACCTTCCTATCCTTTTATATTTTGGAACCATCAACACTAATAAAAGAGAAACATGCAAAGTAACCATCACTCTGATATTATCACCAGCCAATCAGGAGGGAACATGCAAATTATAAAGAAAAAGATTGCTACCGCCCAGCTGCTCTAGGCACGGAGTAGCTGGGCAGGGCAGGGCACTTGCTATGAGAGGGAGGGCAGGGGTGAAGGGATCTACAGGAGCAGCGAAGATGAAGATTGCATACTCCGGAGTCTGCAGTGAAGACGAAGAAGGAAGACTGGCCGATGCCTGCAGCAAAGGCGGCAGACTCTGGCCGGAGCCAAGGCCTGGCTCCCAGGTGCCAGCGGAAAATCAGTGCTGGAAGCCAAGGGAAGGAAGGTCTATTGCACAAATCTCTTCATGCAATGGGCTCTAGTGTGAATATAAAGCAGAGAAGAAAATGGGTTAAGTTGAGCTGTAAGGGTGAATATGTGACTCTTAGGATAGTATCCTTCTAGAATATGAAATTCAATGCAATGGTTACTAAGATTTCATGTGTCCAAACTAAGCAATGGTTTTTATCATAAGGATTCCATCTCAAAATGCTTTAAAATCAGACCTAGATGGCTGGCATGGCTCAGTGGTTGAGCACTGACTTATGAACCAGGAGGTCATGGTTCAATTCCCAGTCAGGGCACAGGCCCAGGTTGCGGTCTAGATCCTGTGTGAGGCGTGCAGGAGGCAGCTGATCCATGATTCTCTCCCATCATTGATGTTTCTATCTCTCACTCCCTCTTCTTTCCTCTCTGAAATCAATAAAATCAGACCTAGAGAGCTACCGGGGAATCAACTTTACAAAGGACAGCTTTCTCCCCCCAGAAAGAGAACTAAAGGTATCATCCTAGCTCCAAGGGAAGCGGGAAGCCTGGCCACACATGCAGCTATGGACACTGCTGGAGCTCACCGAGGAGGAGGCACATGCCTGGAGCTGACGGTGCAGGCACCACGCAGTGCCATGGAAGCCAGGCATGCCCAGCACTTCCAATGAGAAGCAGAGATTCGTGCACACATAATGAAAAATATGACACGTTATAGGATAAATGAACCTAAGTATGGAAACCATTTTGGACATCCTTTAAACAAAGAACAATGTGATTAGAATCGCTTGGAAAGGGTCTTCTAAATTCAAACGTAAACACATTCGTATTATAAGAGGTCCAGCTTATACATAGATATACCCCCCAATGAATACTTACATAGGGTAGGGGCAAAGTAGGGTTACAATTGTGAGTACATGAAACACAAACAGTTTATTCTTATATATTACTGACTATTGTATCACTAGAGGCCCCATGCACAAAATTCATGCATGGGGGTAGAGCGTTCCCCTCAGCCCAGCCTGCACCCTCTCCAATCTGGAACCCTTTGGGGGATGTCCCACTGTCTCTCACAATCTGGAACCACTGGCTCCAACCACTCTCCTGCCTGCCTGCCTGATCACCCCTAACCCCTCTTCCTGGCTGCCTGATCATCCCTAATCCCTCTGCCTGCCTGTCTGATTGTCCCTAACCACGTATGCCTCCCTGCCTGCCTGATTGCACCTAACCGCCTCTGCCTCGCCCTTTACCCAGGACCCAGGATTCCCTCCTTCGGGTGGTCGCAGGCACCTGGCACCCGGACCAGCCACAGCTGTAAGGACCATGGGTGGGCGGCTTATCCTTCTCTCAAGCTACAGCCTGGCTGATCCCCATTTCTCTCTCTTGAGCTCATTTGTGCCTGGCCAGTCCCCATTCCTCTCTCCCCAGTGTTGAGTGTCTGAGCCATTATAGTGTGATGACCATTTGCATATTAACTCTTTATTATATAGGAAGAAGATTTCCACAGTAACAAATGTAAACCTACTTGTGCCCATCCTGTATATATAATGCACACTACACACTAGATATATTTTATGTGCTTTACCTACAGTAAATAGTTATTCCTCAAAATGATCTTTGAAATAGTAATATTATTGCCATATTTTAGGTGAGAAACTTGAGGCATTTACTCTCTGACCTAGTACTACCACTTACATCATTACAAATATGCAACCGCATATGGTACAATGTCACTTCACCCTAAGAGGGGACAAAGAGAATGAGAAAGATGTGTTTTCCTACAGAAGACAGTGAAACCTCAAGATAAGGGAATACTCGAGTGAGGGAGTGTCTGTTAAAGCCAAAAGTCCGTTACATAATAAAATAGGTTTAATGAATGCATGTTGAAAATTTGACAAATTAGTTTACCTGTTTTTACATAATGTGACACATTGGTGTAATTATAATTACTAGTAAGTATGTATGAAAGTTTAATTTCACAGAAGTTTCCTATGTGTTACTGTAATTTTAACTTTAATCTGAGTAGGCCTAGTAAATGCGTGTGTTCACCAGTCACTGCGTACACAGATGCACAGGCTGGTGTGTGGCCTAGCACATGTGGGAACATGGACCGGCCGGCACACATTAACTGCTGCTGTCATGCCACATGACAATAGAAGCCATTATTGGTCATGTTCTAATCATTTGCTGAACATTGTTTATGAGCAGAGACTCTTGGATTTAAATATGTAGACTATAGTTGTAGATTTGCAATATTTACTTATGTTTGTGAAATTACTAGTGTTTCTTCCAGCATAAGGCCTACTCAACAAAATTTGTTAAAAATTATCCAATAGACAATAACCTGTTAATCTTGGTTAAAAGCATTTTAAATTAAAAGAGTGTTAATTCTCACATAAGACATATGGACTGGAAATTTTGTCTGTTAAATCTGAAGTCTGTTCAATTGAGGTCCACAAATTCAAGGTTTACTGTAGACTCTTAAGAGAAAAAGGCAAATAAGAACAGTATGTATAAATATAGCATGCTGCATGCCCAGTGAGAAAGTATCGGACAAAGGAACACGTGTGTGTTTATCTGCACATACACGCATGCGCGTGAAGAAACCTCTGGGAGGACAAATCAGATGACAGGCAGCCTCCCAAAATCATGGTGACTTGGAAGGGGGCGGGGTGCTTGCAGTTCCATCTTTACATTAGCTTTGGTTTTTAAACCAAATCCATACCTTCTATGTTTGAAAGAATTCACAAAGCAAATCCAAAAATTAAAATCCAATTTAAACAAATAATCACAATTATATATTATGTAAATTATGTAAACATAGACTGGAAAGACAATAAAAATATTATCAGGTTACCTTAAAGAGCAAAGGGATAGGAACATGGGAAAGTGGTATTTATGGGATGGAGAAAAGAGTAACTTTTTTCTTTTTCTTTCTTTTTAAAAAAAATATATTTTATTGATTTTTTACAGA